GGGGGACGGGCCATCCCCGGCTTGCTGCCTACTGTCCACACCTAGCCCACTTACCTCTCCCTCCCCCAATATCTTACAAGGGAAAGGGGCTGGTGGGCACGATGTCCTGAGGGGTGCCGTGCTTGGGGGAGGGCCCTGAGCTCCATGTGAACTGGTGGGTGGGGCTCGCTTTCTATTTTTATTGTCTGCAAACTGGGGCACCCACCTCACCTGGCTCACCTGTCTGCCACCTGCCGGATGTGCTGCCGCCTCCCTCCCCTCCCCCCACCTCCTCCGGAGCCAGGGCTGCCGGCAGGAGAACAGAATTGCAAGTGGGTGGGGCCCACTGGCTGACCTGAGTGGAAATCCCCAGGGCCAGGCCAGTCCACTACATCTTCTGACCATCTGACCATCTCTGGAACTGTCCCCCCAGGCCAGCCCAGGGCTAGGGTTCTTGGATCCAGGCCTGGTGGCTGTCTCCAGCTTTGCTCCCCTGCTGGGCTTCCCTGGGCCCCGGCGGCGAGGCTTTGCGTCAGTGTGTCCTGCAGACATGGGTCAGGTCTCAGCCCTCACGTGAGATTCCCACGCTCAGACACCTGGGTGGCAGCTCCCTCTTCCTTCTGTCCTGCTAGAGTCTTGTCCAGAAGGGCCACTGCTGACCTGCTTCTAGAAGTAATCCCAGCCCCACCCCCTTTCTCGGCCTTCGCAGCAGCTGCCCCTCCCAAGCTTGTGATGGGTTCACTTGCTCACTTGTTTATCTGGCCTCCCCGGGGGCGGGGTCTGTAGGTCTGCTTCGTGCACCACCCCCAGGAGGGGCCCCCGAGCCATGGCCAGCATGGAGCAGGCACAAAGTCTAGAATGGGTGGACATGGTTTCCAATGGGCCCCCTGCAGCAGTTGGGGTGCTGGTTTGGAGTCACCTTGAGCCTGGCCCCTCCCACAAAGACATCACACTGTCACTCCAGGAACGCCCCAAGAGCCTGGCCCCATCCCACTGCCCAGCCCTGATGGGTGAGGGCCTGAGTCTTTTCTCAAGAGCTGCTCCCTGCTGCCCTCAGCCCAGCTCACCCACCAACTCGGTCCATGCAGGCCCCTTCCCCTTCCCGCCCAGGGCATCAGCCCTGCTGGATGGGTGGATTCCAGGCCACCCCTGCCCCAGGCTGGTGGAGACACCTGGCCTCTGGGCCACAGGCCGCACCTCTGGGAGGCCCCAGACCCCCTCATAAGCCTCCCAGTGACCCCACTCAGGCATGCCCGAGCCCCCACAGCAGGGAGACCTGAAGGCCCAGGCATGGGAGGGGATGGGGAGTGTCCTGCTGGCTCCCCTGGGACAAGCCCAGTCCAGCCCCTTCTCCGTGTGAGTCTCCTAGTTTCCAAGGAGGAGGGATCCGGGCACCTGCCAGCCTGGCTCTGTCCCCTCCGCCTCCGTCCTTCAGCAGCCTCCCTGCCCTTGTAGCCACCACGGAAACTGGCTGAGGCATCAGAACTTTTGCATCCCACCCCTTTGTCCGGTTCTGGGAGGGGGTGCGGAGTCAGCAGGACCCGGAGGCTCTGCCCTGAGCCCTTTGTCCTCCGGAACAAAGGGTCAGAGCCTGGGTGGGGGTGGGGTCCTGCGCCTGGGCGGGGGAGGGCTCCCTCCGGCCTGTGCACGGCTGAGGCAGGGGCGGGATGAGGGCCCAGCCGGAGGGGTGACCACCATCCTCCAGCTCCTGCCCATGACGCACGAGCCCTCGGTGGTGTGTCCTTTGCAGCCCCATGGATGGGCATCGCTGCTCCCTAGAAGGGAGACTGAGGCTTCTGGGGGGTCTCCAACTGCCCCCCACCCCTCGCTGAGCCCAGCTGAGAGGGGGTCCTGGTCCATCTGCTGTTGCCGAGGAAGCTTGGGCGGGTCAGTCACGGCCGTGTCACGTCTGTTCAGCCAGGAGGGCTGGCCAGGAAGCTGTACTTGGAAGTGGGGAAGTGGACGCAGACACTCGTCAAGGGACTGCTGTGGGGTCTTCACCTGTAAAGGGAAAGAGGGGTGGCAGGTGGGAGCAGGTTAGGGCCCTGGGCTGGGAAGGGAGGGTGGGCAGGGGAGGAGGAGGCAGTGCCTCCCTGTGCTGTCCGGGGGCACCCAGCTCCCAGGCCTTTCAGCCACCCGTGGTCCCACCCGGGCCTGGGCACACGGGGATAAGGGATGAGAGCAGGTGGATGTGGTGACACATTGTGTCGACAGAACTCTAGCTGTGACAGAGTGAGGGCCTGACCGACCACGAGGCCGTCTCCCTCCTTGGGCCCCACCTCTTGGGCTTCCCTGGGGCGTCTGTGGCTGCCAGCAAGGGCTGGAGCTGGGAGGGGGCCTGAGGGGTCTGTCATGGGGGGGGGGGGTTTCTCCTGGACAGGGACCTCTGCCCAGGGCTGTCCTTCCCCTAGGGCCTGTGGGGAGGGGTGGGCCAACGGTGGCGGCTAAGGGAGGCCCTTTGGTGGGGACTTGGGTGGGAAGGCTCCCCTCCACCTGAGGCCCTGCCCAGCCCCCCTGCCCGGGCTCCCTCGTAGAGGCAGGGCTCGGCCACAAGTCTGCGATTCCAGGCCCCAGAGAGAGGGGGGTGGGGGTGGCGGGGGGGGGCCTGGAGTGTGCATGTTCTAGCCCAGGCAGCATCCGAGGCGCTGGGGGTCTAGTCCAGATTGAGTGCCCTGCCCTCCCCTCCCTCGGGACGCAGGCCTCACCGAGCTGAGAAGGGGAAGCTGGTCCCAGCCTCCTGGGACCATAATTGACTAACAGCTGCAGACAGGCGGGCGGGGCTGGGAGATGGATGGCGCATTGCGTCGCAGGGAGGGGTGCAGAGGCCCCGATTTCCAGGAAAGGCAGCCTGGTTCTCCGTCAGGGGCCGTGACCAGGGCCCGGGAGGCCTGCCCCCAGCTGGGTGGGTGACCTAGGGCCTGCCAGCTCTGGGCTCAGTTTCCATTCCTGTGTGAGGGAGGGGCTGGCCCAGGTGTGGTTCCTTCAGGTGAGGACAGAGCAGCCCTGGGGAGGAGCCCCCCACATTTGCCCCCCTGGCCTCCCTGTGGTTGAGCAGCTTCTGGACAGCACTGGCCCGCTGCAGGGAGGTCGGGGCACTAGGAGGCAGCTCATCCAGGGGGAAGGAAGTTCCATGGAGCCCCGCACAGGTGCCCCAGACAGGCCATGCCTGCTGACAAGCCGCCCGCTCTGGGCATCCAGCTCTGTCACCCTCACCACCCTCAGGCCCTCAGGCAGCCCTTACCCTGGAGCAGGGGCAGGGGTTCCCCTCAAGGAGGCAGTCATGGCCCCCAGCTGGGGGGCTGCACTTGGGAGGGAGAGGGAGGAGGACACCCCTAGGGGCAAGTGTTCAAAGCAGGCCCCTAGGTGAGATTCCTTGGGCATTCCCCCAGGGGACAGTCCCAAGGCAGGCATGCAGGACTTGACCTCCAGAGGCCGGTGGTCTGGGTGTCCTCCCTGAGCTGTCAGTGTCCAGCGCCCCCTCCTCCCCTTGGCCCAGGGGCCTGGGCACGGCTCGTGGCTGGTGGGGCACTTCCTGACCTGAGGCACTCAGCCGCTTGGAGGCCCCCAAACAGCCTGGGCTTCACATGCAGCGCTCCCCGCACAGTGAGACCGCTGCTGCTCCACCATGCATCCCCTTCCTCTTCCCCGGCCAAACCCCTTTCCCAAGTCCCAGTCCTCCATCCCCAGTGATGTCCCATTGGAGACTCTGGATTGGACGAGGCCTGGGCTCCAGGTCTGCATCGATGCCGAGGCTGTGAGGGGGCACGTGCCTGCCTGTCTCTGGGCCCCGACCCCAGACAGAGGGCAGGGTCTCCGGAACCTCTGAGCCCTGAGGCCCGGAGCCTCACCGCCTGCCCAAAACATAAAGGCCGCTGTGCTCAGGCTCTGGGGGTTCACTTTGGCTGCGAAGGGATTGTTCTATGACCGACACCCACAGAAACATGGATGCAGAGGCGGCCAGGACCGGGAACCCGAGGGGGGATGGGGAGGGTGGGGGAGGGACAGCACTTAAGGACGCCCTGCCTTCGACCCCCTGTCCTCATGTCTTCTGGTCCCCTGACTGGAGGCAGCATTGCCTGAGGCCTTATAGGGGTAGGGGGCCGAGTTTGACCCCAGCTGACCCTGCCGACCTGCTGCCCATCGGGGCCTCATTGAGGTCCCACCGCAGTCTTGTGAGGTGGTCCAATTCTAGCCCCATTTTTCAGACAGGGAAATGGAGGCTCAGAGGAGTTAAGGAAGTCACTTGGGCACAGCTGGAAGGGGGCAGAGCCAGAATTTGAACCAGGCACTGACCTCACTGACCCTGCTCTGGACAGCACCCCTGGCCCAGCGGAGGGAGCATCCCCAGGCTGGCAGGTTGGATGGGCTCATAGGGGACCAGCAGAGGGGTGGTCTGGTTCCTCCTACCACCAAGTGCCACCTGCCCATCTGCGTCTCTTGTCAGACCAGGGTGTGGACAGCCTGGTGCCAACTCAAGGGGAGGCCCCTGCCTGCCCTCTGAGGTGACTGAGGGCTCCTGAGAAAGAGGAGAGCAGCTGGGACAAGAGTCCGCATTACAACCTGACTCACCCGGGACACCTGTGTGGGGGCAAGAGCCCAGAGCTGAAGTCACCTGCCCTGGGCACCCACGTGGGGTTGGCGAAACATGGGTGGGGACAGACAGCCTGGCTCAGCCTTGGCCTCACCCCGAGCGGTTCCAAGTGCACCGAGGCCAGATCGGCCAAGTCAGTCAGCCTTGAATACCATTTTATTTATTTTTATTTTTTAAAAGTTGGCTTTATCCCCCGAGTAGGTGCACTGTTCCTGGACATTCTGCAATACCAGGTCGATGTGTGACATGGATGGAACAAGCTCCTATTCCAACTCCCTGCTCCCAAAATCCATTTAAAAGATTGTCCTGGGATAGGTGACATAGCAGCTATTAAACTGGTAAGAACAAACACTACACTCGATCTCACCAAAAGGCCAAGAAGTGATTGAACGCCATTTTAGAAGCCAGACCAAGATTCGTGCTGACGGTGGGCGGGGGCAGGGGGGACGACCAGGTGAGCCACCAACCTGGGGAAGGGCAGGGGCTCCCTCCTGTAACAGATAGCTGAGGGAAGCCCCAAGCCCCTCCCTCTCTGGAAGCCTCCTTCCAGGTAGCCTGGGTGGGTTTGGAGAGAGCCCTGTGTCCCAGTGCCCAGGTATTTGCACATCAGGGATCCACACAGCAGCCCTGCCTAGTTAGCGCCCTGGAATCCTCTCCCTTCCCCACTCCTCGAGGTCTCCCTGGTGCCCACTCCCTCCCCAATGCAGCCCCCATCAACTGCAGCTTTGCCCACCCAGCAGCTCCACTTCCTCTGTGAGAGACAGCCTGGCACAGTGGGAAGTGCCCCAAACTGAATGTAAAACACCTATGCAATGCCACCTCTTTGTCCCTCAGTTTCCCCTACATGTCCAGCAAAAGGGTGGGCTAGATCATGCTTCCCAAACTCAGCTGTGCCTCAGATCCCCTGGGCACCTTGGTAAATGCAGGTTGTGGTTCTGTGGGCTGTGGTGGGCCTGGGACTCTGCATTCTAACCTCATGTCGTCTGGTGGACAGACTCCGACTCATCATTTAGCCCCACGTGCAGAGAATCAGAGAATATGCGGGTCTAGAAGCGCAGATGGGGCACGGAGTGGATGCCAAGTGCAGGCTCGACGTGTCAGGTGGCCCACGGGTCTACAACGCTTGGCGCCCATGGCAGTGCGCCGCCTGGTGTTCTGGGTCCCCAGCAGTGGTCCAGACTCTTGCTGTGGTCCACGCGTCCTTGCTGGCTCCTCGTGGCTCGGCTCCCGGGCGCTCCGAGGGGAGGTATCCACCCTTCTTACAGACACCAGCGTGCAGGAGTGGTTTCAACTTTCGTCAGATCCATGGGCAGAAAATCACACTTTGCTTCCTACAAAGCTCGCCGGTGTCTCCTCCTTAGTGAAGCATCTCTCAGGTCTTTCCTCATTTTCTGACCCGGGGTTACCCTGTCCGTGTGCATCTGAGGAGCCTTCCTGTAAAGCCCCAGCCCACTATGTCCTCTGTGGGGGTGGAGGAGGGGTGGTTATGGCCAAACAGAGCCTCCGAACTTTTCTATCCACAGCCTTGCGGTCCTCCTCGACCCAGGAGGCAGAAACATGCCTTGAGGCTTTCTCCTGGACTCAGAATCTGGCTGTCCCCGTCTGTGGAGCTGGAGGCCCCTTCAGGCGGGAGGGAGGGCCTGGCACCCCAAGGCCCCTCCCCTGGGGAAGGGTCTCCCACCGGCTGCTGACTATGGGGAGCAGGACTTACCGTGGGGCTGGCGCCCCACCGCCTCAGTTAAGTGGCTGCACTAGAACTGGTTCCGTAGACCCGGAGCTGCCCGTCTGGAGGGGGCCGAAGGTGGCAGGGGAGGGAGGGCCGGCTGGCCCTGGAGTAGGACTGCTCTAAGCCCATCTTAGTGTCACCGCCAGCTGAGCCACCAGTGGAGGCTCTGCAGGGCGCTTGGGAGGCATGAGCCGTCTGTCCACTGCAGGGCAGGACAGACGAGAGCGCAGGGTCAGGGCTGAGGGCCAGGGAGGGCGGCTGGACCTGGAATCGGAAGGGACATAGCCCCTCTGTGTCCCAGTGTGCAGGGGCAGGCCCGGGGCAGCTCTCTCTCAGCTGGGAGCCCTCATGGGCTCCTGCCCCTGTTCTGCCTTCAGCTTCTGGAATGGGAGCTGGATTCCCTGGAATGGAGCCTGGGGCCTCAGCTGAGAGTCAAGAGGAAGCAACTGTGATCAGTGGTAATGCTTTGAGGGCAACACCACATCCATTACAAACCACGGCCCCTGAGAGCTCCTTCCGGTCGGGCAGGGGGAGGAGAGGGGCCGGAGACCTCTGAGACCTCTACCACTCAGCGGCCAGGGCCCTCATCAGTTCCAGAAGGGCCCCAGCTCCACAAGGCACCCCATTCCTGACAAGGAAGCGATCACCTGCGATCATAGTCCCCATTACACCACGTGGACAGGAGCCTGAGGCCTGCAGAGGGCCGTGGCCACAGCTCACAGCTGGCCAGCAGGGTGGGAAGGAGGCCCATGCCCTTGACACCTGCCCTGCCCTGTAGAGGCCCACAGAGGGGCTGTCTCAGGGCACCAGCACCGCAAGGATGAAGGGGCACCAGGGTGGGGAGCTGGGCAAGTGGGATTGCCCTGGGCCAAACGGACTCCAACCCTCCGGGAGGGGCTCCAGAACTGGTTTGCCCAGCTAAGTGGAGATGGGAGGTGGGGGGTTTGTGAAATGAAGGCCCCACAGGGGCATGGGGCGGGGAGAGGGTTGGAGGAGGTGGGAGGTGGGAGGGCAGAGAAGGAGGGAGAAGCTGGATCCTCCATCCCCAGGACACGGGGGGCGGCAGTGGGTGTTGCTGATAAAGGTCCCTGTGGGCTCAGGGAGGGGCTGCAGGGGTCCTGAGGGCTGCAGAGGGGAACAGAGCCAGGTGCTGCGGTCTGTGTCCACGCGGGGCATGGGCAGTCAGGTGACTTCGGGACTCCCCCTCCCCACCCCATCAACGGCTCCTGTAGACCCCAAGGCAGCCTGAACTGGAGCACCTGCAGCGCCCTGGCCTCAGCAGGGGTCCAGGTTCTGCGTCCACGCCAGTGCCAGGGACGTGCCAGGGAAGTAGGCTGCCCGTCCTGGGCCTAGAGTGATGCCTCCAAGACCGAGTGGTGGCGCCCCCTCCGGAGGGGAGCTGGACGGTGCGGAAGGGAGCAGAGCAAAGCGGGTGTTGGCCTTGGCAAGGCAGCCTGGCTGCGAGGAAAATCAAATCACTGCAACCCCACCGACCCACCGTCCGGCGCTGAAAAGCAGATAAGCCCGGGTGGGGGATCCGCCTGGCTCTGCTGCAGACCCACCCCAAGTGGGAACACAGAAGTGATTAGGCCTAAAAGCTCGGGCCATTTAGCTTTTATTCGATTGGCAGAGAGGCCCACGGTGCCCTCTGCTTTTTGTCGTTTGATTATACATCTGTGTTCAAAATAGGGTTCCTGGAATGGAGGCGGCCGGCTGGGCTCATTGGAATGGAAATCAATTTGATTAGAGAGCAGTCAGTGATGAGGCTGCGCTCCAGGCAGAACCCAGCTCCGCACAACACCAGAAACTTTCTGAGGAAACGCCTGCAATCCTGGGGGCGGGGCCTTGACCCGGGCGGGGGCGTGGCTGGGGCCTCTCCAGAGCACCCCTGCCCTGCCCCCACCCCATGGGCCAGCAGGAGGGGTCCCTGCTGCTTACTCCCTGCCTGGCCTTGGTAAGTGCTTGGCCGCCTCAGTTTTCTTCTCCATAAGATGGGGTCATGCTGGTGCTGCCTCACAGGGTTTGGGGGACTTGAAGGGGCCATGGTCACAAAAAGCCCACTGGCACCTGGTACATAGCATTAATTCGATGAATGCTGGCCAGGTGGGTTCTCAGGCGGAGCAAACACTCAGCTCCCAGCAGACACACACTTGGAGCCCTGGAGCATTTCAGCAGGTGATTCTGTATCAAGTATCCAGGGAAAGCTGGGTCCAGCAGCCACAGCCAATTACATGAGGGACAAGTAACATCGGAGACAAGCCTTGTGAAGGGAAGGACCCTGGACTTATGCTCTGTGCGCCTTAGCCTGGCCACTCTGAACCTCGGTCTCCTCTTCTATAAATGGAGCAGTAAGTCCCACCTTGAAGCTGTTGAGGGAGGAGGGGTGATGTCCACCAGGCGAGTGGCACGATGTCAGAGCACGATCATAGCGGCCTCCCCAGGTCCCCTTCTGCTGAGAGTGGGAACGTGGAGGGTCTGGACTTCAGCCTTCACCCCCATATGGAGGTTGGCACTCTTCTGTGCTGCCTTCTCCCGGTGATTCCTCTGGGCTGCTTGGCTAGTCTGGGGGTCCAGGTCCTCTTGGGCCCTGGTCAGGGAGGCAGGTCTGCCTCTAGCCTCCGTCTACTCCTGCAACAGAAGTGGATTGTGCCCATGTCACTGATGGAGCTCCCTGGATGGGCCTGGCACAGTGTGGGCATCCCCCTCTGTCGCCAAGGACCTACCCAGGCCTCCACCAGCCCTCGCAGGGCCTCTGCTGTGCACAATGGGGGAGCAGAATGGGGACTGGAGAGTCACCCCTTCCTTCCATCCCCTCGCTGGACACCCTGGTCCAGTGAACAACCTGCATGTAGATGCACTTTGGCCCTGCACTCGGGAACCCGGTGGGCCTGGGACCGGCTCCCAGCTCCACCCTCCGGAGGACTTTCGAAGTCACTTATGTGAGATTTCATAAAATAGAGATAACAGTTTCTGTCTTGCTAGGATGTCATGGAAATCAGAAATCACCTCTCCATTCAGTACTGATAGAGTAACTGTTCCGTGCAGCAAACTCAGCAGCTGGTGCCTAGCAGGGGCCCCCAGACAGGACTCCGACTGTTATGGCTTCGTTGGCCGACCCGAGAATGCAGGGTTCCCAGGAGCACCGGCACAGCCCGTTTAAGAGCGGGAGAGCAGCGCACAGTAGGTGCAGCTGCGGCATGGAACAGTCTGGCGGTTCCTCGAAAAGCCGGACATAGAATCACCACCTGACCCAGCAATTCCACTCCCAGGCTTACACCCCAAGGACTTGAAGACAGATGTTTAAACCAAATCGCACACCCTTGCTCACTGCCACATATTCACAGCAGCCAAAAGTAGAAACCACCCACGTGAGCATCAACAGACAGAGGATAAACAAGATGTGGTCCATCCGCACAATGGAATATGATTCAACCATAAGAAGAAATGAAATGCAGACTCACGTTACCACGTGGAGGAACCTGGACCACGCGATGCCGAGTGAAGGAAGCTGGACACAAGAGACTATGACTCCATCTATATGAAGTGACCTGAATAGGCAAAGGCAGGTGGAGGGTCGTCAGGGGCCAGGGGAGGGAGGGAGCGATGGGGGGTGGCTGCTGAATGGGTACAGGGTCTCTTTGAGGGGGAAGGTTCTGGCAC